TGAGGTTTTTTGGGCAGGATAGGTTATTATTTTCTATTGATATGAATTTCAGATGTTCACAGGATTCTAAGCTGTGGGGTTTTTTCCCTGATACACTTCTATCTACTAACCAGTAAATATGATAAATAGAAATGTGCTGTTTCCATCCTGTTCTTACGAAGGATTCAGTAGTAGCAAGGTTTTCAGCAAGGTCTTTATGCATTTCCACAAAGCATAATGCATTATGATTACCAGTGTATTATGAGGAAAAAATAAATAACTGAATACATAAAATGAAGCTGCTTTTTGGGGGAGGATGGAGTGAAGGGTTTTTTGGGGGTGTTATTATTTTTTTTCCAATTTCATTGGTTTGTGAAATACAGAAATCTACATTCTTTTAGGCATAATTTCAAATTAAAGAAGTCCAATTGCTTTGTCAGAATATCAGAATGAAATCTTTAATCTTTGGAGATTTGTTTAAAAGCTGAGGCATATGTGCTTATCAGTGTATATTGCATATAAATTGGATTGATCCTGTTTGTTTAAAAATAAATGATATTTTACAGTAATTCCAGTAATTACTTGATTGCAGACCTTTGAGGATCTGTAGTACTTCTGGTTTTATTGATGTTTGAATACTTTGGATAGACTATGTTAATTATAAGAAATAGTATTTATTCAGATGCAATATATTTAGTCTCTGATTTAGAAAAACACACCTGACCTTCTGTGGGGGAAAAAAAAGGTATGCGAGTTTTTCAAAGAATTGCTGTAGTTGGACAAAAGTTCAGGAATCTTTGTGCATTCTGCTCTGTGTATCTTCATTTAGAGTGGGATTCAGCTTTGTTTGGTGTATGGATTCTGGTTTTCTGGTTTTACATTTGAGAAAATGAGGTTACAGCCAGAATATTACAACTCAGAAGAATTCTTGACATGTATACAGTTTAAACACACCTGAAACAAACCCCTGTAACTAGGTTGGTTCAGTTGCATCTAGGGCAGCAGTGGTGCTCATTTGCAGCTCCTCTAAAAAGAGCCTGTATCAGCTCCTGCCAGCCTAATTTGCCCAGGTGGCTTTTGTGTGCAAATCTTCTGTTTAACGCCAGTATTACAGTGCCACCTTTTGATCTGAAGAAGCAAACCTGAGTGCTCTCCTTGAGAACATCTCACATTCAGAGAGACTGAAGTTACACCTGGCCCTGAGCACAGGTTTAGTAATGCCAGAGCAAGGAGATATGGTGGAGGCCAAGGGATGAAGGTGCTCTGCCCACCAGAGAGTGACATCAATGAAACCCACAAAGTTACACTAAGGAATTTTCTTGAAAGTCTAAGGTACTCTACTTCAGACTTAATAATTGGGAATATATCTTTCTAGGAATGATATAATGGAGTCAAGAACAACTTAGTTGAAAGAGGCCTCTGTGACAGCTAGAATCTGCACAGAAATTAATTTGTCAAAACATCTTGCCAGATCATTGTGCTCTATTTAAAAAAAAAGTAAAATTCTGTGGGATAGCCTTGTCTTTTTCACTCTAGCTGTATACAAAGGATTTTTTAATCAAGTGTGCTATTCCAGCAGAGGATGATGGATTTTGATGTAAGGTCTTGGGCTGTAATAATAATGAACAATTTGTTCCAATGAAAATGTCTTGGTCAGATTTCAAATGTGAAGCAAGTTCATGTCTTTTTTTCAGAAATACAAATTAATTTCTTGTAAAGTAGGATGTTTCATTTCGTGGCTTAAATTTTATTGACCCTCTTTAAATTTAGGGGTACCAAGTGGCATCATAATTTATATTCAAGTGCTACCTATTTTTGAAATGGGAGCTGAAGTCTTCATAGTTAATACTGCAGAAAAACAATGACCATCAGGCTGAAAAGGAGATTTGCACCTTTCTCCAATGCAGAATATAATTTGCAAACTCAAATCAATGTAATGTAATGACCTGCAAAATTGTCTGGGTTTACCTACAAAATAGATTTTTGCCCCATTTCCCCTGAAAGTCACAGTGCACCTTATGCTGCTTGTGACCTTTTTTGTGAACTGTCCAAGAATTGCAGTGGAAGGGGTTCAAACATTAATAAAAAATCCACACAGCAGCTTCTGAGTCATGAAATGTAGGTATAATTTATGCAAGAAAAAGCTGAATGTTTGTTTAAACCCCTCAAGGTTTTTATAAGAAAACCATTTTAGACGGAGCAGATGAAAACTTGAAGTAATCAATAAATAATTACTAAAAACTTTTCTGCTATAAGGAGACATAAATTTTGTGTTGAAAATCATATTTTTTATGAGAGGTAGAATTTTGTACTGTAGAAATGAACTTACACTTTTGTTACAGAAGCAGTTCCAAGAAGGTTTTACAAATGCAGCTGATACATTGCAGAAAATTACTCTTGGAAAACAATATATGCCAACCTTACTTAGCTCTCCACATTTAGAGGGATGCTTTAAACAGTGCCTTGTATAGCGAGGTTGGGAACATTTGCAGTCAAGTAGTTTACATTTGAAATGTGCTAAAATTAGCAGGGAACACTGTACTTCAGTCTTCTTGAGCCCGTGCTACATGGAGGTGGTGTTAACTGTGTGGACCCAGCAGTAAATCTAGCATGCAAAAAGTTAGTCCGCTGTTTTTGCACATACATACGCACAGATGTACCTATGCAAGCATACAGCCTGTGTATTGAGGAACCTGGCACAATAGCTGTCACTTGTAAGTCCCTGTGTTTGTGCTAAGACTTGCCTTTAGGCAAGGAAAGAAAAATTTTGACCATTGATATTTTCTATTAGATTTTTTAAAATAATTTATGTATTGTCTCAATATTACTCATCTTCCACTTTTTTAAAATTATATAAAATGGTGAATGATGATACTCTATCAAATGCCATAAAAAGCTTAATGCACTGTTACCCATTATCTCCTGCAGTATATATTTACGAGTACAGCAATGGATATATACATACATCTCTATTATAAACTAACATGATACAAATCCCAACTGCTAGTTTAACCACTTCATGCACAATTTTGATATAGGTAAAGTGTATTAGTCAATTAAAGAGAAGTGTAAATATAGATATTTGTGTTGTATGCTTATAAGGGAATTTTTTTTCAAGGAAGTAGGCTGTTAAATCATGTTACCGTAACAAATGCTGAAGGCTGCTTTTACATTCATTGCCACTGAATTTATTGTCAGAGCAATGCAGTTATATCCCATTTCAAGATTACTTAGGTGGCTTGAAAATTAAATCACAGCTCACAGATTCTCTGTTTTTCACACATGACTAATAGTAGTAAAATTGGGTCTAGTTTTAAGTATACTTTGCAGTGCATTTAGGTGCGTGAACTATGAAAAATTTAGTAAATAGAGAGTGATTTTCCATAAATTAACAATGAATTGAATAAAAGAAAATTGCTGTCAATATACGTGGAATTATTTTCAAAATAATTATATTAATTTTGTTTAAGTTGGGGAGTATGGGGTTTTATAAAGTCCTCAAATTATTTTTTGCATGTTCATAAATCTGAAAGAGATCTTCAGGAGTGATTGCTCAGAACTGGAAATACGAGCTCATGCTAGATTACGTTTTAGAGAAAGAGTATGTCAGAAGTGTGACCATTTGTGTCTAATCAGATAAATGATTCTTGCTTGTTCACCTAATCTGAGCTAGATCTTTTATTTCTATGTTCAGTTCTGCAATGTTTCCCTAAAAACTTTCTCTAAAATAGGTCGTCTAAAGATGTCTCTATGCAAGGCATAGCAAAACTTTACTTCTGTTAGGAGTTGGATTGCATTTGGTTTGCTTTTGGACTGCAGATCCTTGTTTGGTTTTAGCAAACTGAAAGCTAATTAACCACAAGAAAACTGCTGTGCAAATGGACTGAAAATCCCTGTGTAGGGACACCTCTATGCAACTTATTTGTTTGTACATTTTAGTCAGATGCTCAAGCAAGCTTCTTAATGTAATTAATTGTGTTCCCCATATTGTGTATAGGTAGATGCATCTCAGAAGGCTTCCAAAAGAAGGTCTGACTTCTTAATTTTAATACACCAAGGTCCCTTTGAAGGCCTTCAAACATTTGTGTACATTGTGTAATAGGTGTGTTTGGTTCAGGGAAGCAAATTATTGTCTGAAATGAAACCTCCAAACTGACTTTAGTGCATTGATAATCTTCTGTTGTGCTGCATTGCTTGTTAACAGTGCATAGCATAAATGAAAAGCTCTGGGTTCTAGTTTATTTTTCTTTTGTGTCTCCTCTGCTGCTGTCTTTATTACAGTTTTTAAGATTTTATTTCCAGTATGGAACTGTGAAGGACAAAAATGTGTCTGAATTTCAGAAAAAAAAGGCTGTTTATTCATATTGATAACAAAAAAATCTTACTGAATAATAATTTTATAATATATTTAATACTATTTCTCTTTTGTAAAAGATAATAGTTTCAGATAATGTGGTACAGCTGGTCATACAGGGATTTTGGGGAAGAGCATGAGATATCTGCTGCAGGACGACTTTAATGCCTTTTTTTAAAATATATGGTGCTTTCTTTTAAAATATACGAAACGAAAATCAGAAACATATTGATCTCTCATATTACGCAGCTTCATAGTTGTTTCTCAACATCTCACTATTTGTTCATTTTGCTGGAGTTCAGTCTTCCTTACATAAAGCTGAACATACTATCAAACATTTAATGTCATGGATTTGGAATGGTTGAAAAGTGAAAACACCCAGTTAAAAATTAAATAATTTCTGCCTTCATTGTTAAATTATTTGTTTGGCATACATGTTGCTGTTTGTAAAGGAACTCCTTAGTGGAACACAGATAAACTAATTTGACTATTAATGCTACTTGTTTTTCTTCAATTAAAAATCAGTTAAGGAAATAAAATAAGCTTAATTGAAAACGCTGACTGAACACTAATGACTGAAATTATTTTCGTATATTTCCTTTGTGTTTTACACAGAACTAAATATATATATGGCATATTGACATTTAATTTATTTTTTTTTCCTTAGTGATCTTAGTGAAAATCAAATTCAAGCAATACCAAGGAAGGCATTCCGAGGAGCAGTGGACATAAAAAATCTGTAAGTATTTTCTTCTTTCTTCTATATATTCTGATGATAACGCTTTGTCAATACAATGTCCTTTTATTGTATCAGATATCATTTTTCTAAGCACTATTATAGCTGCTTAAGGAATCTCTGCATAAAACCAATACTTACCGTTTGTTTTGCCAAAATACTTCAATGTATCTTAAACATTCTAAAACTGCCTTACATGAAATGTAAAACATTGAAATAGAGTTGAAGACAACATGGCGTTATAACTATTAGTTTATGGAACTTGAGTTTAACATTTGAATGTCAGGCAGTTTGAAACATTTTATTGTTTCATGAGGAAAAAATCCTTTTGCTTTGATTCCAAAAGTTTGACATTGGTTTGCTTGTATAAAAGAAAGAAAAATCATACTATTATCTAGTTTTGATAGCATATATTTTTATACTTGTGTGACTATTTTTCTTACACAGTTTTCTTCTGTGGCCTTTTCTGAAAGAAAGATACTCACTTTCCTGGAGATGGTGACCCTGAAGTTCATGGGCAGGTTTTGAATTCTTATGGCTTCTAAATGTGGAAATATGTGAGTTTCAAGCAAAGCAAAGCAGTGACATTCTGTTTAAAATGGTAGGTCAGCTTAGTGGACTGAACAAGCTGAACAATCTGAAGACTATGATGAACTTCTGTGGTAGGAAATGTAAGGTCATTCCCTCAAAATCTATAACCCCTGCTGTAAGCTAAGGACTCATCACTTACAAACAACCAGGGAAGTCAGAGGACATACAATACTGGTTTCCAGAAAGACTACGGAGCTATCTTATGTGACATCAATAAATATAGGGAAATATTAGGTCAATGTAGGAGGTTTTCATCTAATTTCTACTGAAACACCTTTTATTAAATGGAGTTGTCGATGTTAAAGAGAAAGATGAAATTTCTAGTTCTACTGCTTTGAAAAGAGTGCTCTGTGATTACAAAGGGAGGGTCATCATCATGTATCCCCAGTAGGAGAGGATGGGACAGGCAACCCTTTGCATTTCCCTCTTCCTGTGATGGGCACTACTTCATTCTGCTGCCTGCAGCACTGCAACAAAATTGGTGGGGAAGATATCTTTTCAAAGACTTAGCAGAATGCCCAAGAGTTTGACCTACTACAGTTCCTCCCTGCAGGGAAATCCTACCATACCTCAGTGGAAAAACTGTTACGTTCAAAACATGCAAGTGCTTCTTGAAGTAGTTTTGTTACTTTGTTTAATTGATATTTTTTGAGGTTTTTTCAGAACTGGTCCCATCACTATTCATGGTCAAAAAGAGGCTTTGCTACAAGAAGCCTGCATTTTTCTGCATGATCTTATATGTTTGAAAATTTATACAGCTACAGAAAGGAACTTTGTTAGTAAAAATAACAGCATCATTGAGAATATTCTAATGGCAAAGCAGTAGTTTAGAATATAAGTGTAATTATATATGGTGAGGTAGCTCCAGTCAGAAACTGCATTAGGATGCTAATCTTTATTTGATATACTATTTTTATCTTAGTGTGTATTTTCAATCTAAGGATCCTTTATTATGTCCAAAACTTACATAAACAGTGGATCTTCCCTTTAAAGCCTTTCTCGTTTGGGAAGATAATTTTATAAAAGCAATAAAATCATAAAGTCCTTAGCATTGCCACAGAGTCTAAATCATATCTATGACATAATTTTTATTGTGATAGAATAAATACTACAGATATATCTTTACTGCTCCCAGGAAAAAAAAAAATAAGCACCACCAAACTCCTAATCTGAAAACTTTATGATCCCTCTACAGTCCCTCTACAGAATGAAAAATGAGTTTATGGGGTGAGTTTGGTGGATTCTAGCACAGCATTTATGTAACTAGGCCAGGCCATTGTGCCTTTCCAGAATCTGAGGCAAGGAGATACAAACACCAGCCTTCCAACTAGCCTTGGACATTGCACTTAGAGCAGAAGGATGATGGGAAGAATTTTACAGGTTTTATTTAATTGTTCAAGAAAACTAAAGAGACAGATGATAAGTGATAGGTATAGAAAGCATCACTTTGCACACAGAGGAATTGAACTGCCTGAAAGGAGGTTGTAGCCAGGTGAGTGTCAGTCTCTTTCCCAAATATCAAGTGAGAGAGAGGATGAGAAGAAACAGCCTCAAGTGGCACCAGGGAAGGTTTGGATTGAATGTTAGGGAAAATTTCTTCACCAAAAGTATTATCAAGCATTGGAACAGACAGTTCAGGGAAGATGTTGAGTCACCATCACTGGAGGTATTTAAAAAATGTGTAGGTGTGGCACTAAGAGACATGGTTGAGTGGTGGACTTGGCAGTGTCAGGTTTACAGTTGGACTCGATGGTCTTACAGGTCTTTTTCAACCAAAATGACTCTCTGAATTTATGAAGGTGTTTAATCTAAGGTCCAGGAACCAAATACATGTATGTACTTACTGAGAATTTTCTTAAACAGAATTCAATATTTGTTCTAGTTTTGGCCTTTCTTCTGTAATTGCCCAGTAGTTGAGCAACGTTAGAGATGTTTGGTCTCTTCCAAACTCATGTAAGAGATGGATGAAGGTACAAAGAATAAAGAAATCTGTATTAGAACATGTTGTAAATCTAAGATTTGCTATGTATAGCAACAGTAACAGTAATTACATAAATTTCAATATAAATTAGTGAGCTTTTTTTTTTTAACATGGAACAATTGATAACCCTGACATACAGTAGCTCTACTAAGCTGTTTCAAAGGTGGTTAACAAATTTCACAGAACTTGACCTGATAGCATATTTTATTGTATCATTCTAGTCTTTGTGGAGCAAAGGTGTTAACTCAGATGATCTGAAGGAAATTGCTTCCTTTAAGGTTGATGATACCACTACGATCTCCTGCTAGTATGTAAGCTCTAGAGTCCTCTTGGTGTTTCTCAGAAGAAGCTGTCTAGTTTCCATAAAATGCTTCCATGATATTTTCTTTCTGGACATCTTAATAACACTCGCAGTATAGATTCTGTAGAAGATAAAAGCATAATAGATAAAACATTATGAGAATTGGCAACCCAGGCAACCTGCCACATCTTCATGGTAAAAAGAATAAGAAAACCCCTGAGAAACCTTCAGGCCTCACAAATCTACTTTACATCTAATTGAAATTACCTATTTTCCAACTTCTTATACATCTCATAACTGAGAATAATCTGGCTCCATCTGTACTCTCACTTGATGTAATTGTAGGCAGCAATAAGATCCCCTCTTTGCTGTCTCTCTTAGGGCCCAACAAATGCAGTTCTTGCAGACTATCCCCAGATGTCACCTGCTTCAAGCCTCTCACGTGTGGCCCTGTTTGAATTCAGTCTCTGTCTTCTGCGGGGGAGGCTAATACCAGTTGCCATCTCACAAACTTAGATGTCATCTCCCAAAGGCCAAAAAGAGTGTCCTTCTCTTCATGCTCACCAGTGCAGCCTAATTGTTTGTAAATAATTATGTTCTTCAGTAAAAGTGACAAGAAATGGCTTATTTTGTAGCCATTCCCCAGACTAGAAACCCAGTATCCAGTATTTTGGCCATTCAGATGTAGTAAAAAAATAGCTGCTGTGTGTCAAAGTTTCAATTTTTCTGTTCAAGAAATTGTTCTTGAATTACTTGAGGAGTAATACACTTTTAGTATAACTCCTGATCTGGGACTTGATTGAAATTAGGCTGCAAATTCTGGAAATATAATTCTGAAAGTTACTTCTAACTTGCTACTTTTTCAGGGAGAAAAGTATTCACCAAGAAGTTAGATTCTTCAGAGAACACAGTGGCACCCACTGTTTTTTAAAAATAAATAGAAATTATCATATAAATGGCAAATTAAACACAGATTTTTTTAATATACTTGTTAATTATGGTTTCATAACCCTCCCTGGTGATATAGTACTCTTGCTGGATGGGAAAGATATTTAAAATCTTCCCAACTTCAGGAATTTTGTTTATATTTAAGATGGTAAGAAAATGCATTGGGTGCCCAAATTGTTCGTTTGGATGGGTTATTTTTTGAATCTAGTTAGTAGGAAGAAAAATAGCTGGGTTACAACAGATGTAAAGAACCACTGAAGGAACAATAGATTCTGGCATTATGACTTTTCCATGTCAAGTGTGTAAAATTTTCTAAGATACCAGTTTTTTCTTCCTCTGCGTAATCAATACTTGGCAGAGGACAGAAAGGAATATACCAACATCATGGCAGAATTGTGATGCTAAATATATGCAACCTCAAATAATATCAAAAATAGCAAGGAACATTTTCATCATATCTGCTTCAAGGATCTGCTGCTCTGTTTTTCTTGTAATGCTCTAGGCCTTACTTTTGACTACTCTTTTCTTTGTGTTCGTTTGGTTCCATTTTTTCCCAGCAAGAGGGGGAGAGTGTAGCTGACACACCAGGGATAAAGGCTGCAGGGCAATGTAGTGGCTTCACAGATTAAATTGCCTGGGAAAATGAAGAATTAGTGGAGAGAGAGATAGTCACCAGCATCAAATCGAACTCCTTTCCATTATACTAACCTTTGTTCAAAACCTTGATTGATACTACTTGGTGCTGCCCTGATGCCTCTGTTATGCTGATTGTGAAAGATTTTAAAACTGACATTGCCACTAAAGACATAAATGAATTTTGTGTTAATCTTCGTTGGGAATGATTGGATTTTGGTTTTATGTTCAATTATTAGCAGTTGAAAAAGAGAGTCCTGCTGAAGATGTTCTAGGTACTGATTTCTTCTCAGATCTTCCACAAAATTCCACTGTGACTGGAAGTATATTTGTCTACTTACCTGTACCAAATGCATTGCCTGTCTAAGACATGCTTTAAAAATTTAGAATTTGCTATTTCTCATGCTCGCTCATACTGAGACTCTCAAATGGACTGCTAGTCTGTTCAGCCACCTGCATTTCAGGTATACATCAAGAAGGGTTTTCACAGGATGTTACTGAAATATACTCTATGTGTGCTTAAGATTTTTATTAAAATCAAAAATAGCTCTGAAGGCATGAAGAAAAGAATAGGTACACTTTTTTAGTACCCCCTAAAGCTCTTGTTGCCAAACAGGTCAATGACCCTGTGGCCTTTGGAGGGGGGGAAGTTCTTTCTGACTGTTTAAATTAATACTATTTCAATACTATTTTTAAAGTTTTATTTTCATTATTTCATTAAAAAATATTTCTTACTGATGTGATAGTATCTTTGCATCACATAATATATAGATTGTTCACTTTGTGTGCATTCTACTTTGGATAGCATTCTTCTGTTTAATTTTTACTTTTTTCAATTTTATTTTCCTCTTGTAAGATAATTCTGGGTTTAACTAAGTAGAGTATTAGACAGGTTTGAGGGGATTAAACAATTAATCAGTTGTACCTTTTCTTCTAGTTTATTTAGTAAGTATACTTTACCTGGATGTATTGCAAGTCTTGCTTGTTATTTTCAGATAAAAGGAAAAAGTTAATCGTTTGCTGTATTATGTATATTAGGAAAAAATATTCATCTGAACTGTTTTGTAGGGAAAATTTAGTAAATAACAAAATTAACTACATTAGTAAAATAAAGAGCAAGTAGAAAAAAAAACACCTTGACTTCCAAATGAGAGAATAATCACAATAAATAGTAATAGTCATGGGAGACAAGCAGTTCTTTGAAGTTTGGTAAAAGAATAAATTCTTGCATGATTTTGTTACATCTTTTTCAACTAATTTGTCAAATTATTGATTCATCTTGAACTGGAGAAGGGAAGTAAGAAATAAGAAACAACTCAGTTCTGCTGTAAAAAATACAAGGAGACATTAAAAAGAGTGACTGTTTCCAAAAATTGCATTGCAGTGATAAATATTGTGCACTCAAGGAAAGACTTTACTGTTGTGAAATCCAGCACACAATACGCTAAAACTTTTTCTAAATATTTTCTAGGGAGAAAGCTATTGCAGGGATGTAGAAAGGCTTCTCACTTTTTCTGATGACTTCTTAAACAGAGTTTATCATTAAGTTGATACACGGGGAGAACATAATAATTTCTGAACAAAGGAGAAGAAGGTAAAGCTGAGGAGTACCTCTCTAGCACAGGACTACAAAGTGTCCTCAAGCTGTGAAAAACAGGAGAGTAAAGCAGAGAGATTGTTTGAAATTGTCCCAATTTTCAACAGTCTCTAGGAATGAGTAAAGAAGGTTTTCTCTGTCAAGAATCAGATGACAGTTTTTTTCTGTATGAGAGCAGTAGTTTTTAAATGTATGCAATATCTTCTCTTAGTCATTAAATGTGATTCTTGTGGGATAACAAAGTTTATTTTAAGATATTTATTTATCATTATCTGGTAGACAACATATGCTAAAAGGGAAGAAAATATAAGTTAGCAATATGTTTCTACAATGCAAGATGTATCAGCAAGAGCAATAAATGAAAAGCATTTTTAAGCTTAGTTGAATGCTTTTTATTTAGTTCTTACTAGTTCTTATGGCTGAGCTCACATAGACATTAACCTTTTAAGTAGCGGTAGAGTAGTGAGTATATTAAATACCCAGGTAATGCTGCAGATATGGGTGTAAAATCCGGTTAATTCTTTGCAATGACGGAAAGATTTTGAGCGAGACAGTTGTTTCGTGTTTTATGAGCTTCATGGGAATGGCAGTGCTGAAGATGCTTTGTGAAGGTTGGAGGCAGAAAGGAACGGCATCTTTACAAAACTATGGAGAGATCCCACATAGAAAAGACACAGAATGGAGAAAGGACTGGCAGGAAGATGATGAAGGAAGACTAAAGAGAGAGGAAGGATGAGAATGGGCTGGAGCTGCTGGTCCATGTCTGATCAGACTATGTTCTTAGACTGTTTTAATGATTTGAAAAGAAGAAAAGCAGCTCTTGGGGGGAAAAAAGGCTTTCTAAAGTGGTGTTAAGGTTATTGGTATACTCAATAACTTGGTGCTGGTATTGCAGATTTTTAGGTGTGGTTTTGAAAGTCATTATGCTTAAATTATAAAACATAACTTAAAATTAAAGAAGCATGTGCCTTTTTATTCTAGTATTCTTCCTTATGTGTTAAGTCATAGCACTCACATAACTTATTATGAGGAACCATTTTTATAAAAAAAAATTCAGACTACTTCAGTATATCTGCTAGAGGGACATTATAAGTTATTGTTATGCTGGTTGTGAAATATTGTCTAACTTTCTGTCTGGGTCATATATGCAGTGGATATTCTTACCTTAAACTTTACTTCTACTCTAAATTGCTGTTCAAGCCAGGCACACAGTCTTCAAAGTCATGTCCTTTTGGCAACTGAAAAAAAAAAAAATATCTCATACCAATTGTTTTTCATACTCTGTGTCTAATGGTTTTATATCATGGTTGTAACTGATGGCATAAAGAGAGTAGTAGCTTTCAAAGACAGTAATTTTTAAAACTAAGAAATATTTCTCATTTCCCACCTCCAAAATTCCCTTCCGCAAGCAAAAACCAACTCGTTAGTTTAGAACAAACATAGTAATCTTTCTGGTAAGAAGGTTTAAATGGAAGCAACTCACCCTTCACTAAGATAGTGATCATGGTGACTCATTAAAGGAAGAAGTCCAAAAGTTTTCGGGTGCACCACAAGTGCTGCCAGTCTTGTGGAAGAAATCTGCCTTTTAGTTTGTGTAGGGCAAGATTTGCTCAAGTGCTTTCTCTGCTGTTAAAAGATTTTCCTTTGTGTATAATATGGATGATTTAGAAGAAGCTGTGTCAGCACTGATTTATACATTGACAGCTAAGGATAATAAGATATGGGCAAACATACAGCTCACCCTTTTACAGATTAACCTGCAGACTGCATTAGGCAAATTTGATGGCATTAAAAGATTTTTCCAATTTGTCTGGAAACAATTTCTCTTTTGTATTGTGTCAAGGGTAACATTTCATGCCATTGTACTAATTTAAATAGCTTTGATAAATTGTTCAAGGGGTTATAGAATTGTACTCTGTGTATATTTTACCTCTTTAAAATAAAAAGGCTATTAGCTTAATTGTTAAATGAAATTCATTAGTAAATATTGAAGGCTTAAATATTCCGACACTGCAGCTGTAACATTGCACCACAATGATTAAAGATCATATTCAGGAATTAATAGTTTGCATTTAGCTCTCAGTACACATAGAGGCACTGTTACAGTTATGACAATATTTTAGTCCTATGTAGTAGTAATTCAGATGAAAAGTATTGATGAAACTAGAAGAACTTTATAGAAGTTGGTACATTACATTCAGCAGTGGGTGTGATGATTTATTAATAAAGTAAAATGTTATCATAGATTCAGAAGAATCACAGAAAATGCTTTAGTAAAAGCGTCATTAGCCCTGCTAGCTAATATATAATTGAAGACAGAAGGGCAGAGTTCATTTGTATTTTGTTCATTTTCTTGGTATTGTTCACACACATTTACTCGTATATATTATTTGACACTGACAAGCTACCAGCTTGAAGAAGTTGTTTAAAGTGAGGTTTTATCATCTTTGCTTTGCAAATCATGCCCTGAAATGCATAAGACATTGCAGTATATATAGGAAAAGCTTTTATCAGTAGCAAAAGTGTGATTTTGTATTTACATGGTTGTTAATTTAAGCAGACATTTTTAATTGAGCTGTATGTGCTGTATAAATGTTTTGAATTGAAAAGGTAATAATATTCTTCAGAGAAACGAATCTAAATTTTTCATAAGTTAATACTTAACGATTAATAATGTATGGGGTGTGTTGCTGAGTTTTATGTCTAGATGTTGAATACTCCATTACAACATACTATCTGCATATAATTGCAGAGAGCACAGAGTATGTAGAAAACCATATGTTGAAGGTTACAGCAGACACACTACTTTCAGTTGGAGCAGAATTAAAGGAGATAAGTAAACAAGTCTGTTAATGCCTCGGACACTGTTATTTCTACATACAGACATATTCTAGGAGGTTATTATTCTAAATCCCCCCACACACCCAGGGGTAACACCTCCCACCCGCTCTTGCCTGCATGCATGCAGGGAGACCCCTAAAAGTAGTGTCTCTCCCTGGTCTCTACCATGGCAGAAGAAATTAACATGCAGCTGGGCTGCTCTGATAAATGGATTCTGTTAGGTCACCGAGGGGATGCGTGTGACATTAAGTGATTTACCGTCCTTTACCTTAATGAAATTGTTTCAGCAAGATGACGCTGAGAGCTTTTAATGGATAGCTTTTCTTGATGTAATGAAATTGCATTCCTTTGGCATTTAATATAAGGTGCAGTTATTATTTACTGGAGCTTTCCCAGCGCTGCTGTTTTGCGCAGACAGTTGAGAACAAAAAGGGATTTCTGTGGCAGCGTGCAGGCCGGCGCGCTGTGCGACAGCCTCGAGCGGACGGGAGGGATGGCCAGAGCCTTTCTGTTCGCGTGGCCTTGCTCTGCCGGCCCTTCGGGAGGCTTCCCTTGCACCTCACCTTGCCAGCGCGCCTCTCCCTTACAAATGCCTTCCTAATCTGTTTAACAGGCAACTGGATTACAACCAGATCAGCTGTATTGAAGATGGGGCATTTAGGGCTCTGCGTGACCTGGAAGTGCTGTAAGTATTCCTTGTATCTCTTACTTGTAGCAAGAGCTCAGTGTCTGGGGAGTACTAATGTAGAAGCTTATCTGCGAGCTGCAGCCTGGTGTCAGGATGGTCTGGTGAAAAGATGTCTTAAAATAATCCACTGTGATGTGCTATAAAATGGTAAAAAGATGTGGAGAGGGAGAGATACGCCTTTACGCTGCAAGACAGCCATTAAACATAATTATTAAAAAAAAAAAACCATTGGCAGATACTATAAGAAAATAATATATTTCATCACAAAAGGGGGGAAAGCAACAGTATTAATGAACCCAATTAATTTTGTAAATTATCCATCACTGTTGATGTGATGAACATTTTCAGGATTGCTTTTGTTATATATTCTGACATCAGTCTGATCTTTCAGACTCTCTTTAAGGAACAATATGCTATGTATATTTGATAATCTGAATGTTTTCAAAGAGGCATTTTCTATCAAGCACTACTGCTGTATGTCAAGATATTTAACATGTGCGTGTTAATAGTTCATTTTTAAAACATTTTAAGTTTTATGTGCATAAATACATATGTATGTTTAGCAAAATATCTTCTTTGTGTGTCACAGAAGATTATTTTTACAATACTCCTTTCCATACTTTTTCTCACTGTCTCAAAGTGGCTATCAGTGAAGTTAAAAGTAACGAAATTATCATCAGTGACCCCTCATCTGAGAATATCACTGTAATGAGCAAAGTGCCTCTGTTCCCTGAGAATCTGAGGCACAGGACACATTCCTGAAATATTTGCTTTGTCAGTCAAAATTACACATTTTTTCTGGATTTTCTACGTTAAGAGAAGTAAAAGAATTTGTGTATCAGTGAGTTACTTCATGTTTATTTGAATCACTCAGTTAATCACAACTGGAGCAGGATGAGGGAGCAGGTTTTGTTGTGTCTGGGGTTTTGCTTTTTATAAAAATTTTTCTGAAGTAAAGAAGCTTCTCTGGCAGTAGATAGTGTCTGCATTTCCAAGCAACTAAAGAGTATGTAAGCAGCTGCTAAAGTTTTTTGTTATTAAGCACTGGTTGGTCTTACTTATGAGTGAATGAAACCGGCAGCTTAATTGAATTATTTTTTTTCTTTGCACTCATAGAATAACAAGCCTATTGTTAACTGTCTGGTATAAAGCCATGTAAAACGTACTATAGGTTCAATACTGCATCTAATTGTTATGATGAATTGTTGGTTGTCTGTCAGTAAACCCGATGTTCTCTGAGATTTTTGTCTTTGGAACACATGTATGTGACAGAATAATTTTTCCAGTGATGGCTTAATCTGGTTATTATGGTGTTTTTTAATACAAACCTTTCTTTACAAATGCAGTTGTTAAATGTTTATTAAAAAAAAAAACAACAAATGTTTTCTGCATTTTTTAATGTTTGCCATTTTAGTGTTCTAAAAAGGTCATCCTTGCTAGTTGAGGGTAGTGGTAAAATTTTTAAATGGATTTCAATGAGTGCAAAAGAGGAAAAAAACTCTAAAATAATAATCTGCTGGAAAGTAGGTAGTTAGACTTTTGTGAATGAATATACATAGTGTGTAACCATTGTTCAAATATACAACTAAATTTTCACTATCTTAAGTTATAGTATGTGATGAGAAATGATGTAAAGATCCAGGGTTTTTTAAAAAAGTTGAACTAGATATTTCTAACAGTACCAAAGATTTTGTGTCTAATTCAGCTTCTTTTCCAATATGGCTTAAAGAATGAAAGATGTGTAGATCAGACCATTCTGTATATGCACTGAGTAGCAAATAGGACTATGCATGTTGTTTTCATTTGGAGTTAATTATTCTATCTAAACACAGAAAGTATATATTACTTCAAACTTCAAGTATGAGGTATAGCTTTTAAACAGATTTTAATCCTGTTTAGTGACAGTTTGAAATGCTTACCAAAGTAACAGGTTTTATATATTGGTTAAATAACTGTAGAACTTTAGAGGCAGTTAGTGTTAAAGACGCAAAATAACCTGAAAGACAAAAGCAATTAGAAGTGTAATCATCTCCGTGAATTTCTGTGAAGTTTCAGTTTTCCTTTGTCTTTTTTTTTTAATGGAAAATCTGCTGTATTTCGGAAACAGATTATGAGGAAGATATATAGTGGTGTCATGTTAAAAAAAATTAAAGTCTAAGAAATGGGAAAAAAGTCATCACAATCTTTGCTATAAGTAACCTGTAAAACAGGTAAAAGTATTGAGCCAACTTTTTTTTGGTTACTGTAATCTCTGTAATGAAATCAAACATTTTTATCATTAGATAGAAACAGCCATAAAAGTTTTTTAATCCCTTATGTATCCCTCACATCTACTCCTATGTCTAATTTTTCTTACCCTTGCAAAAATAAACTACACAAAATGCCAAGGCAAACATCAAACAGTTCAAATTGAAAATTAAAACATTTGCAGATATGCCTTCTCTTAATTGCTATGGAAATATGGACTGATTTTCCTTCATTGAAAAGACAGGATTTTAAAATCTTATAGGAAATTATGCAGTCATTTACCATGTGGACACTGAAAGAAAATTCTACCAAGATTTACTGACTGTCATTAATTCATTAAGACACCTTTTGTGGAGTTACCCATTCGGCCATTTTTTGTTGTTTCATCTTTGTTATGTTTTGAAAAAGGGCAAAATCCTTCTTTTTTTTTTTTTTTCCATTTTTCTCCTCTCTGTTTATGTAGCCCCAAGAACACACAGGGGAGTTCCCTTATGCTCAGCAAAGAAAAGATTTAGGACATTGAATGAGTAAGCACGCAAAGGTAAAATGCAGCACATTGCACCAGTAATTAATTGCTTGGTTAATGTGGTGGTATATAGCCTGATCCTCTTCAGGGTGCTATGAATTTACCTTTCTGTGTTTCAAGATCAGAGAGTACTTCAGAATTTATTCAAAATAAGCACAAATTACACTTTGTGATTTAAAAAACAAAAGGAAGAAGAAAAATACTTTCTGTTTCAAAAGAAAAAAATAACCTTTTTTCAGTGGAAATTATTATTTATTACTGTTATGGTTATATAGATTCTACTCAAATGAGTAATCACTAAGTCAAAACTGTAAATTCTATCCGTTGCTTCCTTGTTCTGGAGTTAAGCTTGTTTGCGTTTTATTTGCAGCCTAAAGACAATATTTTACTGCAAATTCATTCATAAAGTTTCCAAATCTTTACAAACTACACATACCAAGTATGATGGGCCTGAGCTAGCCAACAATGGGCTAAGACTTATTTCTAGTTCCTATCTCAAGTTCTCAACACCTTGTCCTAAATTTAAATTACTAGATTGTTAAAGTATTATATTATTCCTGACTCCTTTCATCATATAGCAGAAACTCCCCTATTGTTCATGTAGCTCTGGTTCACCTATAGCAACTTGTTCCATATAAAACCTAACTGCAGCTCAGATTCAATATTTTCCTAAAATTCTTGGGAAAAAACCTTCAGATCTTATATCATCTGTCAAAAAATGGACTCTCAGAAGATAGAAAGAGAAATCGGAATCCTAGAACCAAGACATTTTCTCTAAATACTCTCTTTTTTACATCAGGATGTCAAGCTTAGCTTGAATGCCATAGGTGTTCTCAACATTGGTGGAATTTCCTTTTCAGAGAATCATAGGCTACTGGAACCTCAAATTACTTAGGATTATTAATGGTAAACCCATAATATTTTACTAGGAAATCAACACGGAGGAAAAATATAGCTAAACTTGTGGTTTTTTTTTTTTTCTGATGTCCATCCCTAAAACCAGTACACCATGAATTTCATTAGTTATGCCTTTTTTAAAAGTGTAGTAAATGTGACATAACTGTAATATGTTAACAGGATTCCTCTTGACTTTGCAGCACTCTCAACAATAACAACATCACTCGACTGTCCGTGGCAAGTTTCAACCATATGCCCAAACTCAGAACATTGTGAGTAGTCCTACTGAAACTGGCTGCTATTTTTGTCATTCCAGTATATATTTTTACCTCTGCCAAGTTTTTTCAGGTGTCTAAAAATACATATATGGGCAAAGCAAGCATGAACTCAATTGAAAAGTATTGATGTAGCATGTATTGATGTTGATGAGTGTGAAGTCTCTATGTGTGTCTACGTAAACTGATTCTGAGAGGAAAACCTAACAAGCTATACTTGGGGCTCAGGAGATAAAGGAGTGGTTGCATCCTTTTCCGTCAACTCTTTTAAAATGTGAGATGAATAAGTCTACAAAAATGGTTTTTGGCCTCTTCCGAAATGGGTGGGAATCACTTTCCATAATACTGTATTCAGTTACAGAAAAGCTTCACCTTCTAACCTAAAAAACCATGAAGGCAGGGGGAATTCTCCTTTACATGTTACAGCTATATAGAGGAATAAATTGATGTTTTTTGAAAGTCAAGAATTTGTTTTACTTTGAGCTATTGAATGGGTCACATTTCATTTAGGAACATGGGAGAATCTTTGATTGACTGTCAGATGTGATAAATGGGAAATCTTTATGCTTTTATTACTGTACTGCTAGCAGACCTAATTAAACTAAACTGGCTCGCCGACATTCTTTGTAACATAAAATTATAGCATCATCCGGTTGTGCTATTATAATTAAAGTTGTGTCAGCATTTACAATAAGGTCCCCATTTTTAGAGGTTATGACTTTCAAAGAGGAACACTTTAGTCTTCTAAAACAAAGCACAGTGAAAAGAGTGTGTATGCAGGTGACAGGAGTTGGAATTATTTTTTGGTATGTTTGTCCTAACTATGAATACATGTATGTTGTGTTGAGTGGCAAAACCAGAACATATCAAGGTTTAGTCCTGAGACTCACTTTCAAACAGATTTTCTAGTGAAACGGGAGTTAAAAATGAGTAGGATGCTTCTATCAGAAGTCAAGAGTAACTGTTACTATTAAAGAACTACTTTTACAAAAGGTCTCTCCAGGTTCTTTTATGCATGTTGGGTTGCACAACTGTTCTGAAATCAGTAGGGATTTTCGCTTGAGTTAACATACTGTTTGTAACTGAAGAAACTTCATACAGGTGAGTAGCTCTGTGGATTTCGTAACAGAATTGTAACTATTCTGGCTTGGACAAATACAAAACCACTTAAATAGTGCTGACCGTGGGCTTTTGGCAGCCTCAGTGAGATTTTGTTAATAGAATTTCATTCTTTCAGGTCTGAGTCTTGAAAAAAATCATGTCTGTACTTCTTTCAAACCTTCAAATACAATTTGAAGTATTGTCTTGGTATAAAATACGATATTTCTGAACCACAAAATGCAGTGAATCAAATTAGCAATATTTATATTTTCTTTGGTTGGGATATTTCATCTTCTGAAAATGTATTTTAGAAACAAATTAAACAAGACACAGATTATCGCTGTGACATCCCATTTGCAGTCAGAATATGCTTGTATAACTGTATTGATTTCAGTGGCATTAGTTCTGATTTGCAATGATGTTCTTGCCTACAGCTGGCCACAGATTGTACTGAATGACTGTGCTGTATCGTGAACTATATTTGCAAAGCACCAACCCAGGATTAGTTCAGGAAAATATATTGCCTTTAACTTCTACTTATTTGGGGGGGAATTGTTAATATTTTTGTTCATGTTGGTTACGCATTTCAGGTTGCTTTGAAGATTTATTTTACAATGGATTAATTAAACTCCTTTTCTGAATTTCTTGCACTTCCTTTCCAGTTATTTAGTTAGGATTGAACACATCAACTAAAAAGGACCAAAAGGGCATTACCTTGTTATGGATGATTCTGAGTAACGACTTGATTTATAGCTGTGGACATCCTTTTCTGTAGTTTGAGAAAATGTAAGAGCTAGGGAAGAGTAATTTACCTAATTTAGTGAATACATTTGTCTGATATTTTATCAATGGCAAAGTGCTTTTTGACACTTGGCAAGGAGCCGTGGTCTTGTGTCAGACCGCTGCAACAGAGAGACAACCTCCTTAATTCCATCACTTGCTTTGTTTGGTCTTTTAATTTCAGGCATTGCTTAGGACATGGGTCACTAGTAGCCAAAAGCAGCTAATACCACTTTCTGTGGTTAAACAAAAAGAGAGGAAATCAGAAAAGAGATGTGAAAGAAGGTACTTTATATTGAGTTATTACTCTATCTTGTTCAGCAGAAAATGAGTATGACCTGTTACAGGGATCTTTCAGGCTGTTTCTATAGAGACTAATAATGGCCTGACTTACAGATATATCTAATTGGAAACCAAATCTTTTATTAACTCTTATTTCTGACAGTGTATTATCACCACAGGGCAATTTTCTTGAGACATTTTTGTCTTATTCACTATTTGTACAGGTCTGGGCTAAAGAGTCCCACAACAGCTTTCAAGCTCTTGTGTATTTGCTTCTTTCTTTTAGGCAAGAGACAGGCAACTACAGATAAGTTAATTTATTAGGAAGTGTTCTTTTTTCTTCCAATTAATTAGGCCACAACCAAAAAGTAATTTTCCTGCTTGTAAATTTTCCTGCTTGTATAGTTTTCTTTATTATCTTGTAACTCCCAGACTTTCAATGAAAGATGTAAAAAATCGATTCTTCATTAGCAGTTGTATTAATAAATTGGCATAGTTGCTTGCTGGAGGGAGGGCTGGGCAGATTGGCTGCTTTTCTGTTTGTTCTTCCTAATTTAAAGGTGTTGGCATGTCTCTTTCCACGCAGCCGTCTTCACTCCAACAACCTGTACTGTGACTGCCACCTGGCCTGGCTGTCTGACTGGCTGCGGCAGCGGCCGCGGGTCGGGCTCTACACCCAGTGCATGGGGCCGTCCCACCTCCGGGGGCACAACGTGGCCGAGGTCCAAAAGCGGGAGTTTGTCTGCAGCGGTAAGGGAAACAGATTTGCTCACCCAGTCCTGTTTTGAAACACACCTACCAACTGCTCAGTGGTGGTTCTAGTGCTGCATGTTGACTTTTGTTAGCTTTTGCGTAATCCAAGAATTAATGTTTATTAAAAAAAAAAAACCTTAATAATTTTTATGAGTATTTGTATCTTGTGTGGGGGTGCTTCTGTCCTTAAAAACTTTGTGTAAATGCTGCATTCACACAGATTGTATAGCTTTCTAAAGGTATAATTATGGGGGACAGATGCAGGAAATTAAATAAAAGCTGCACTTATTGAGAACATAAAGCTTTTACTAATAAGGAAATATTATTATTTTTTAAAAACTTTACAGATTGATGCTTTTTCTTGTTGTTGTTTTCTGCCATTTAAATACTATTTTGAATCCCTGAGTAGCTTTTTGAATTTTATTGGTATACTTTAATGCATCAGGTTATTTTTTGGTATAAAATAATGAAATGACTAACAGTTCATTACTAATCACATTTTCTTTATTCAATTTTTTTTCCTTTATTCATATCTTCCAGATGAGGAAGAAGGCAAGTTTATCTTTCTTATTTAAATATTTTTAGACTCAGACTGAAAATCTTCTGTAAACTTTGTCTACTGTTTCAAGTTTCCTCAAGAACATTAAAAACCCGCTGCAGTATTGCTATCTGTCTTTTCAGTGATTCATCAGAGTTTCTTCTACTGGTTGATTTTCTGCAAAGCCCCAGAAGCCTATTGCCAAATATGCCAAAATTTGCACACATCCATGCTTTTAAAAGTTTATGGAGAGCACAGTGTTCTGTCCTTTTTAAACAGTCTCTGACATCAAAGTGTAAGGCACTGCCATCTTCACATGGCAAATGCTAGCAGTATTCTTGCCACTAGTGCTGCCTTTATGTACATTTAAAAGGCCTCCTAATGAGATAATTTTGTATATCTTATTTGTAAATGTTATGGCTGCAGAACCTGAGTGTCACGAATGCTGTCATAACTTGGTCATTATAATTATTATTAGGAAGAGGGATAACCATGTTTTCTGCCTGGATCACAGTATTTTTATTTAATAAAACTAAATGAAACATTTCCTCCCTGTAAGTAGAAAACAAGCAGTGTGTGTTATCAGTTTTGGCAGCTGTTTGTACTTTCGTAACACGTACATAAATGTGAAATCAAATTATTATATTGTAAAATTCCATCTCATAGAATCATAGAATGATTTGGCTTGGAAGGGACCTGAAGATCATCTATTTCCAGCTCCCCTTCCATGAGCAGGGACACCTTCCACCAAATTAGATTGCTCAAAGCCCCATCCAATCTGGCCTTAAAAGACTAATCTTTTCAGCAATTTAAAACTTGGTCAGTTATTATATAAAGTTGCAAGTGGGAACAGCACTGAGCTGCAACTTACGTTATCAGAGTACCCTTCCTATATTAATATATGACATTAAGTATTGTGAGAGTGATCTTAAATTAAATTGTGGTTTCATAGTCAAGAAGTTAGTATTTTCTTTTTTTCCCGAGAATTTCAAAAAAAAACCCTCGCTTTTTTTTAACTTAATGAAAAAAGAAAGAAAAGGAGGGCATCGTGCCTTTTTTCATTCTTTTGTGTCTTTTTGTATCATTACAAAACAGCTATTCCGTATCATTAAATCGATAGAAGAATGATAATATATTTAAAAATGTGCAATCTATCTATTTGCAGGAAAATATAATAAGTTTTTTACTTTAGAAAACATACCTAAATACAAAGTGATTATGCTTAAATGCAGTTAAAAATGCTGAGTTTAACATACAGCACTAAGAAATCAGGATGAACTCCTGTATAAATTAGCTACCAGAGTTAGTGAGAATGGTACAACTGTGGGAGGAAGAAGTCTGCTAAGCTAAAACTGAGAGAATAACAGCTGTGTAAAAACTGTTATGTATTATTGTGTGAGACAAAATAAAAATGTCACAACTCCAAAATATAGAACTGAAGGACCATATTCAAATAAATAGTTGCAGAACAAAACTGTAACGACAGGTCACCTTCAGTTCTTGTAGCATAGTTCATTCATTTCTCTTGACATGCATTTTTAATACTACACAAAGTTCTGAAAACTAAATAAATCAGTAATTAGGTTTTAATAGCATTCAATAAATAAAATATACCTGAAATATGGATCACACTTAGTCTTATTTGTTGAAACGATTTTGAATGGGTGTTGCTAAAGCAATTGAAAAATTATGTAATGCTAGCACAGTAGTTGAGCATTTTTCTTTAATCTCTCAGTATTGAATGTTACAATTAACTGTGTATTTAAATTAATGCAGTTTGAAAGTATTGATAGGCTACAATGTATATTTTAGAAGTTCTGCCTTAGATTTTTCAAATAAATGTAAAATGTTTTCCTTTGCAGGTCACCAGTCCTTTATGGCTCCATCCTGCAGTGTCTTGCACTGCCCTACTGCATGCACCTGTAGTAACAACATTGTGGACTGTCGTGGGAAAGGCCTTACTGAGATCCCAACAAACCTTCCAGAAACCATTACTGAAATGTGTGTAATCTGCCTTTTTTTCTATGAACTTGCAGAAAAAAGTTTTTTCCTGTGTATTCATTTTTGTTATTTGTATAAATTCATGCATTTTATAGGGTAGGAATTTTGGTGTACGCATTCAACTTAAGATATAAAAGGAATATGTAGGTTTCTGAAAACATTTAAGATCTTTATGTTATCTTCTGAGTTACTTTTGTATGTACTACTCACAATTCATAGTTAAAACTGCATTCTGAGTTCACTTTATATGAGTTTGGGAATTCTTGCTTTTCTACAAGTCAGTGGCTTTTCACTGCAGATTATAAACTCCATTGCTTTTAGGGTTGCTTTCTGTGCTGGTTTTGGCTGGGGTAGAGTTTTTTTCACAGTAGCTGGTATGTTGCTACATTTTGGATTTGTGCTGAAGACAGTGTTGATAATTCGGAGATTGTTTCGTTACTGCTGAGTGGTGCTTACACAAAGTCAAGGCCTTTTCTGCTCCTCACCCCACCCCACCAGTAAGCAGGCTGGGGCCCACAATATGTTGTGAGGGGACACAGCCAGGACAACTGACCCCAACTAATCCAAAGGATATTCTATACCATTGTGGCGTTACGCTCAGCACATACAGCTAGGGGAGGAAGCAGGAAGGAAGAGATGCTCAGAGTGATGGTGTTTGTCTTCCCAAGTCACTGTTAAGTGTGATGGGGTACTGCTCTCCTGGAGCTGACTGAACACCTGCCTGCCCATGGGAAGCGGTGAATGAACTCCTTGCTTTACTTTTGCATGGAGCTTTTGTTTTACCTGTTAAACTGTCTTTATTTCAGCCCAGAAGTTTTCTTATTTTTACCCTTCTGATTCTCTCTCTCCCATCCCATTCTGGGGGGAGTGAGCGAACCGCTGTGTGGATTTAAACTGTGACATTTACCTTCAGTCACTTTATTCATCAGACTTTCTATTAGAGAAGCATAAGAAAGCAAAAATAAGGTATAGTCTTTGTGTTAATACCACCTGCCTGTGGATAGAAGAGCCTGCACGCTGATAGAGTTGCCGGACATGTCATATACAACGGAAACGTACAAAATTACAATCATGTCCTGACTGTAGAGAAGAGTCATAACACAGATGTCATAGGGCCTTCTGTCTTCCAAAGCAATGTGACTGAGAGGTTGTGTGGGCACAGAAGAAAAGTTACTGCTGCGTTGTCTTCTGTGTGGGGAAGCAACAAAAGCAAGGGGTGAGCTTGCTGACAAGACAGGCAGGAACCAAGCAACATGAGCATCTTTCTCTTCTGGGAATGGTGGAGCAGTGTTTTGGAAGGGAAGCTGGGAGTTCCCTTTACGGAAATAGTAGGAAATTAGCTGTGACAACAACCTGGTAAAGTTTTCAGAATAAAAAACTTGGGAGCACCTTGATGATATTAGGTGATGTTAAGAATTTCAGATAAGGGAGGTGAGGGGAACGGATGCCTGAAGTGAAAGGGAAGACATCTCCTGAACATACATCCTGTTGTAAATAGATCTCTGATTTTCTTGAAAGTTTAAAAACAGGTCTCCACAATGAGATTTTAATTAGCTTGTTGATATCTGACCTGTGTTTTTGAACTTAACAGGGTTTGGAACTACTGTGGTTTTCCTCTAAGGATGTGAATAATCATCACATCTGTCAGTTCATTATTACTGCTGTTAAGACTGACCTGGTTGACCCTGCCCGACCCAATTCTGTATAATACAAACACTTCTTTTACCTTTTACCCCTCTCAGAAAAATTCCTCTGCTTGCAAATAAAGTGACTCTTTCATAAAATCTGTGCACAATGCCCGGGAAGGCTGTACAAGACCGTTCTCACTATTTAATGAGTTGTATACTGGCATTTTTACTTGTTTATGTGCGTCTGTGTGCATAAAGAAGAAGAAGAAAATATTGCAAGAAAGAAAGAGGGAGTATGTGTCAGAGTCCCCACTATATGCTGCTAGCCACTGGAGCTAACCACTGGTTACAGACACTGAAGACTGACTTTTGTTTACTATACTTTTCTTATGTATGTAAGAAATTCTGTTGAGTTTTAGGCATGGAATGCTATGATCTTCAGCAGTTTATTGTCCTGGAGGGTAAAAGTAACCATGTAGCAGCCCCTTCAGTATTTGGCTAAACATTTAAGAGATTGCAGACTGAGGCTCAATGTTTCCTGCTAGTCTGGGCAGCGTTCAGATTCCAGTGAGGCCTTTTCACGTTCTGAGATCCATAATCCATTGAAATGTAGATATATATGTGTGCTCATATAAATATGTACAGTGCATATAGTTTACAGTGATACAGTGTAAACTATGTTATCTCTCTGTATTGTATGTAGTCCATAGGTGCTGGCTAAATAAATTGCAGGTCATAACATTTTGCTCAGTTAAGTAACACCAGTCATGCCATAAGACCTCAATATATGTTTATTTAAAAGCAGGTGTAAGAAGAAGTAGAAAGTTAGAAAATCAAACTTTAGTAATTATTTTGTATTGAACAGATGCACACCAGTGAATGTTGGTATGATGAAAAAACTGAACTTCAGTGATTGACTTAGATTTTGAATAACATAGACTGATATAAAATATGATTCAAGCCAGTAGTAGACTGCACTTACCATATAGAGAGAATAAAACTCTGCTGTTGGGTGGCAGGTAAGGAGAGAAATGTACAGGAAAAGAAAGAAATAAAATAAGGCACAAGAAATGCACTGAAATCAAGAGATAAACTGAGTGGAAGAATTAGAGTAGATGATCTTATGAGTATTTAATGAGAATCACAGGGTCTCTTTTGCTTTCTTGTCAATAGGTTGAAAAGGAATTGAATTTTTTACAAACAAATATATTTTATGGTTGCATGGGGAAAGCTTTATGCTATACTCATTGCTTTATTGTGAATAAAATAATTAGTTATAGTTCTCTTATGATTCTTATGGGTGGCAGGTGTATTTACCTTCTTAGCATCAAAAAGAATGAGAGACAGAGAAGAGGCTGGAAAATGAGTGGTTTACAGAGTGAAAAAGGTTTTACCAATAGTGAAGTGAGAGAAATCTGATACTGGATCAAACCAGCACTCCACCCTGGCCAGTGGCTCTCATCAGTTGTTCCTGAAGAATGTTTTGGAAACAGAAATGTACATCTTCAGAAATAAAACACCAATAGCACAAATATTTCTTTACTCCCAAGGTGTGTTAGGGTTCCTCTGAATCTTGAAAATTTGCATAGCTTTCAGGAAAAAAAGGGTTTTCATTGAAATATCCAATCTGCTTTAAACCCAACAATGTTCTAAATTTTCATGTTCTATTAAGGTAATAAATTCTGGGGGGAGGGAATTGCACTCAAAATCTTCCAGTTTAAAATACAGTCTTTTAAAGTTTCACTGATGTTCCTCTCTCTTTGTAGAGGGAAAGAAAATGCATTCACATTCATAATTTGTCCTATCACCACCTATTTTGCATGCCACCCTCAGACGTCTCTTCTCTAAACCAACTGTTCCAAGTTCATTCAATCTTTTGAATGCCAAGACTTACTATGTCTTAATTAGTCTCCTCCTCTTTCTCTGAATTGCTTTCTAAATTTTTTGGTTTGCAATGACCAGAGTTGAATACAATATTCCAAATGGTAGTGAACCATCAGATTTTTATTAATGGAATTTTAGTTTTCTTTCATTTGCCTTTTGCAACCTAATAATATTTTGTAACTGCCAGTACACGTCGCACCATGTTTTTTCTTGAATTATCCATGCAGAGTCCTAGGCCTGTATTTTTAGCTGTTAGGATTTTTTCAGGAACCAGAAGTTTGTAGATGTAATCTTATTATACCATCCACAGGCATTTCTGAACATTGAATCAGGTTGTATGTCACTTTTTAAAGCTGCTCTATGAAAGACTTCAGTCCTCTCTGCTTTTAACTGACTACGACATGCAGAAAGATTGTGACATTCCAGTATTGTTATCATACAATAAAAAGTGGTTTAAAGCTTCGTTTTTAAAGAAGTACTCTGAAACTGTTGCTTATAGCAACCCCTTGAGATTAGATTGGAAAGAATTATTGTATCCCACAAAATAATAGGTTTTTTTCACTTATTCCTTAGGCGATATTGTTGTCAGTATGCCAAATGGTAACTGACAGTAAACACTTGAAGAGATGAGACCACGCTGTCATGGTAGTGTTAAGAATACTGAGGAGTTGCTGAACACAAGACAGAAGGGTATAGTGAGCCCTGTATTTCCACCACTGCTATGCAGTTCCCACACACATGGCTTTATTACCTCGTCGCCATTTTAAGCACATGCTTTGGCAGGAGCTCCCCAGTTCTCAGGGAGAGAGGAAAAGAGAAATGTGCTGGCTCCCTGTTGTCTTCTGAAGGATGTACAGGCTTTAACAACCAAATTCTTATTTATTCACTCATCTTTATAATACTACCATCACCAGGTTCTTGTGCACACTGCAAGAAAATTGGCGTGACACTTCTATTTTACCTGCACTGGATGTTGTCCAATCTTTTCAGTACTTTTCCTTACTTGTTGATCTTTCTCTGCATTTTTGGTTGAACATTGTCATCTGATTTTCATGCTTCGCTGATAGGGATGTTTGAAAAATCCACAATGCTTTCAAATTCCCTTACTCTGAACAAGTTTCTCTGCCCTCTCTCCCCTCTTTATGGGCTGTATTTGCGGAAATCACTGCTAAGCACTACTAGCCTGTCATGTTATGCTTCAGCCAACTTCATGGTCGACAAAAACCTCTGGTGTTTACATCTGTCCTTCTCTTTGCCTTTGCTTTATTGTATTTCGTATTAATAATGTTCTCCTGTGAGGCTGACATTAAACTTTGCGTGCCCTCCTTTATAGAGGTGTTTAAAATTCAACATCGTATTTTTATGAGATTTTTTTTTTCCATCCATTTCTACCTCTTTATTATTTGTTCTTATATGGACAGCAGTTTTAATAAGTTATTAGTTTTAATAAGAATATAAACCACATTTACTTTTTGAAGGTCCATAGTC